CCAGACTGGGTGACAGAGTGATACTCCAACTCAAAAAAAAAAAAAAATAGCAGCTCTTCCAGCACTTTGGGAGGCCTAGGCAAGAGGATTGCCTGAGTTTAGGAGTTCATCACCTGGGCAACTTGGTGAGACCTCATCTCTACAACTAAAAATAATAATAATAAATAAATTTGTTTTTTTTTTTTTGAGTTGGACTGTTAAGACTATGAACAAAATTCCTGTTGCTCAGCCTGGAGTGTAGTGGCACGCTCACGGCCACCGCAACCTCGACTTGCTGGGCTCCGGCAATCCTTCTGCCTCAGCCTTCCAAGTAGCTGGAACTACAGGCATGTGCCACCATGCCTGGCTAGTTTTATGATTTATTGTAGAGATGAGGTCTTGTCAAGTTGCCCAGACTGGTCTCGAACCCTGGACTCAGACAGTCTTCTTGCTTTGGCTTCCCAAAGTGCTGGGATTACAGGCTTGAGCCAGTGTCCAGCCTAGAGTGGAAATTTCTAAGTAACCAAAATATTTCTAAATGTAAACTAATGGCCCATTTGTAGGTTGTAATATTTCATTTAGTGGAATTTTAGTCAGGGTCTAAGGAGTTTAATATTTCATCTGTCTTTTAACTAAATCACCACAGATATTGGGCTTTCTCAAAGATCACATTTTGTCCTAATTTTGAGTTTTTTTTGTTGTTGTTGTTGAGTTGGAGTCTCACTCTGTCACCCAGGCTGGAGGGCAGTGGCACAGCCTTGACTTGCCGGGCTCAGGGGATCCTTCCACCTCAACCTTCCAAGTAGTTGGAACTACAGGCACCCGCCACCACACCCAGCTAATTTTTTGATTTATTATAGAGATGAGGTCTCGCCAAGTCGCTCAGGATGGTCTCGAACCCATGGGCTCAGGCAGTCCTCTCACCCTCAAAGTGCTGGGATTATAGGCATGAACCACCAAGCCCAGCCAATTTGAGTTTCTTAAGTCTTACTACTAAGATCATGATGGCTACCCAGCTTGAGAAGTAACAGGAAACACAGTCAGGAAACAATCATTTGGTGACTAGGGCCTTAGCAAAGTGTTATAAGAGTTTCTTTGTTTTTTTTGAGTTGGAGTTCTCACTCTGTCACTAGACTGGAGTGCAGTCGCATGCTCATAACCACCGCAATCTCGACTTGCTGGGCTCAGGTGATCCCTCCACCTCAGTCTTCCAAACAGCTGGAACTACAGGCATGTACTACCACACCTGGCTAATTTGTCTTGATTTATTGTAGAGATGAGGTTTCACCATGTTGCCCAGCCTGATCTTAACCCACTGGGCTCAGGCAATCCTCTTGCCTTGGCCTTCCAAAGTGCTAGGATTACAGGCATGAGCCACTGCACCCAGCCAAGATTTTTACATTTATTAGTGTTACAGGTCACTTTGTTTGCCTCCAATACTCATTTTGTATACTCTCTGATATCCAATGGCCTTGATTCATTCAAACCACATGCCTGAAGAATATCTGATCCTATCTTAGTTTATTGAAAATATCTCTGACCTTTGTTAAAATGTAGGTTCATTATAACATTTAGAATGAGTGAAGAGAGATAGCAGGGACATTTAAATCTACCTTGCTGCTAATTTACTTTCTTTGAAGCACAGCAAGGACAAGGAATTAGGAAAACAACACCAAATCGAGAAAAGATAGGCAGTTCCCAGAAAATCCATTATTATCTTGGCAAAGCAGTGAATGCTTGAGTATGCTTGAGGAAAAGTAGTCTCGCGCTAAAGTTGGCCAGTGAATTTCCTGCATGAAATAAAAGCTCTGTGTACCGGGAATGCTAGAGAATTTGACTTCTAGGCTAGACATGGTGGCTCACACTTGTAATCCCAGGGCTTTGGAGGCTGAGGTGGGAGGATCACTTGACACTAGGAACTTGAGGCCAGCTTAGTGAAACCCAATCTCTGCAAAAAATTAAAAATTACGAAAATTTAGCCAGGCCTGGTAATGCATGTCTATGGTCCTAGCTACTCAGGAGGCTGAAGTGGGGGATCACTTGAGGCTAAGAGTTTGAGGCTGCAGTGTGCTATGATTGCATCTCTGTACTCCAGCCTAGGTGACAAAGTGAGACCCTGTCTCTAAAAGAAAAAAAAGAAGAAGAATTTAACTTCTGAAGAATGTATAGACAGTGGTTACCCTTTTCCATTTTCACTTTTCTTTATTGTTAGATCTCCGGAATCCAGAAGCAGCACTGTCCCCAACGTTCCGTAGTGACAGCCCAGTGCCTTCTGCACCCACCTCTGGTGGCCCTAAACCCAGCACAGCTTCAGCAGTTCCTGAATTAGCTACAGACCCAGAGTTAGAGAAGAAGTTGCTACACCACCTCTCTGATCTGGCTTTAACATTGCCTACTGATGCTGTGTCCATCCGTCTTGCCATCTCCACGGTAATGACCTGATAGAATTAGGATCTACTGCTTATCTTCAGGTTTTGGTTGGTGTCTTATTTCCCCTTCTCCTTCTCCAGCCAGATGCCCCTGCCACTCAAGATGGGGTGGAAAGCCTCCTACAGAAGTTTGCAGCTCAGGAGCTGATTGAGGTAAAGCGAGGTCTTCTACAAGATGATGCACATCCTACTCTTGTGACCTATGCTGACCATTCCAAGCTCTCTGCCATGATGGGTGCTGTGGCAGAAAAGAAGGGCCCTGGGGAGGTAGCAGGGACTATCACAGGGCAGAAGCGGCGTGCAGAACAGGACTCAACTACAGTAGCTGCCTTTGTCAGCTCTTTAGCCTCTGGTCTGACTTCTTCAGCATCAGAACCAGCAAAGGAGCCAGCCAAGAAATCAAGGAAACATGCTGCCTCGGATGTTGACCTGGAGATAGAGAGCCTTCTGAACCAACAATCCACTAAGGAACAACAGAGCAAGAAGGTAGGAGTCATATGGAAATACCCTCACAATATCTGTGAATTATAGCTTTGATTGAGAGGAATTGGCCAGGTGCAGTGGTACCTATAATCCCAGCACTTTGGGAGGCAGAGGCGAGAGGATTGAGACCGGCCTGAGCAACTTAGCAAGACCTTGTCTCTACAATAAATAAAAAATTACCCAGGTGTGGTGGCACGTGTCTGTAGTACCAGCTACTTGGAAGGCTGAGGCAGAAGGATTGCCTGAGCCCAGCAGGTTGAAGATGTGGTAGCCCTGAGTGTGCTGCTGCACTCCAGCCTGGGCGATAGAGTGAGATTCCCACTCAAGAAAAAGAGAGAAACTTGCCCCCAGGGCAAGGAACAATTTTTGGAATTGAGGGGTTAGAGCAGTGTTTCTCACCTGGGGATGATTCCCATCCCTGTTGTCCCAGAACATTGGGCAATGTCTGGAGACATTCTGTCACAGCATGAGGGAGTGTGCTGGCATCTAGTGGGTAGAGGTCAGGAATGTTGCTAAACATCCTACAGTACATAGTAGAGTAATCCCCACAACAAAGAATTGTCTAACCCAAAATGGCAATAATGCCAGCGTTAAGAAATTCTGATTTACAGAATCTGTCATTGAATCTGTGTGGAAGAGTCCTCAGATCAAGAGAAGAGGAATCCAAATAATAGAAATATAGAGAAGAGGCCGAGATGATAGGATTGCCTGAGCTCATGGGTTTGAGACCAGCCTGGGCAACTTGGTGAGACCTTGTCTCTACAATAAATCAAAAAATTAGCCGGGCATGGTGGCACGTACCTGTAGTTCCAGCTACTTGGAAGGCTGAGGCGGAAGGATCACCTGAGCCCAGCAGGTTGAGGCTGCGGTGGCG